TCATTTTAATATTTAATTTGATTATTTGTTAAAGGAGAAAAGGGTTTAATTTAAGAAAAAAAATTTTGTTTTATCAAGAAACTATAAAAATAAATATTTATGAACAAGAAGTTAGATGGATATTCACTAATGATTGTGTCAAAATATTTTGTTACAAAAGATGACTATAAGAATGTGGTAATGGTATGTAAAAAATTTAAAGATACCATTGATAAATTTCATTATAATCCTATTCCTATTTATGATTTAAACTTCTTTAGAAACATAGAAACACAGTTTTTATATTATCCGTTTGAAGAGAAAATACATTCTAATCATTTATTATATCGAATCAAATATTATGTTCCGTATTATTATTATCTTGAAAATAAGAAAAATTGGATTCAATGTGATAATGTTATGTATACTAAAAAAGACTTTATTACATTTGGAAGTTCAATACCAAAAGAAGTAAAAAAAATAGGAAAAGAATGTTTTAGTGAAATAGATACTTTAGAAATAATACAAATTCCAAACACTGTTATTGAATTACAACGCTCATGTTTTAAATCATGTAGTTCATTAAAAACAATTATATTATCTTCAAATATTAAATCAATCCCATTTTGTTCTTTTGCAAATTGTCAATCATTAAAAGAAATTGTGTTACCAGAAAGTGTTACTATGATTGGTGCTGGTTGTTTTTATGGTTGTCAACATTTAGAAAAAATACAACTTCCATCCAACCTTTCAATAATTGGAAATCAAGCTTTTTGTTATTGTACATCATTACAAAGTATTATAATACCTTCAAATATAAACCAAATTCCATTAAAATGTTTTTCTTATTGTTTTGGATTATCAACAGTTGTAAATTTAGGTAATTTAATTGAAATAGGTTCATCAGCATTTGAGTCATGTACTGGATTAAAAACAATTGACCTTCCTAATTCATTAAAATTTGTTGGAGGTGGTGCGTTTTTAAATTGTTCTAGTTTAACTCGTTTAATTATTCCACGTGGAGTTGTAAATATTTCAATTAATTCTTTTAAAGGTTGTTCAGCAATTACAGAGTTTGATGTTCCAAGAGACCCTAATGGTGATTATCCTTTTGAAATAAGTACTTCTGAATTACCATTATTACTTAATCATGGAATTAGTCCTGTTAATGTTAAGGTATCAGGACCAAATGATTCAACTAAGTTACATATTCCATTAGCTCCATCAATTCTTGGAAAACAATGTTTCTCAGGAAATACAAAATTGGAGAGTTATTGGGTTCCCTCATCAATAATACACTTAGATGAAGAATGTTTCTCAGATTGTTCCCAATTAACTTCTATTTATTTTCCAAATAGTGTGACTGTAATTTCACCGTTTACATTTAGTAATTGTGTTAATTTAAAAAAGGTAGTACTACCTAAGTATTCTATTAATACAATTCAACGAGGTTGTTTCTTTAATTGTTCTAAATTAGTTTCTATTGACATTCCATCCAGTGTTACTAAAATTTATGAACGTGCATTTGATTGTTGTAGTTCATTAAAAAAAATAAACATTCCTCCTTCTGTTAGTAAAATCAAAAGTGAGGCATTCAACAGGTGTATAAGTCTCAGTGAAATAACAATTCCTTCTAGTGTAACACAAATTGCACCTAATTGTTTTAATGGATGTATTTCAATTAAAAACATAGATATTCAATTGGATAATGAAGGATTTTATCCTTTTGATGTTTCTAATGATGAGTTTATTCTTCTTTCACATATTGGAATTAAAATAAAATGTATTATTATGAACACTATTCCAAATAATGATTTATCATCATTTAATACATTTGTCAATAATAGAATTTCTCTTAAAGCTGGACCAAATATGTTTACTAATACTTTCTTAAAAGAAATTGTACTACCACCTTGTTTTATTTCACTTAGTAATATGTGTTTTGATTCATGTAGAGCAACAAAAATTGTTATTCCATCTACAGTTACATCTATAGGGGAAAATTGTTTTAGTAAATGTACTAATTTAGTAAGTATTAGTTTACCAAATGAATGTAAATATGGGCCATATATATTTAAGAAAGTTAAGTCTTTAACTTCCGTTACAATTAATGGTCCTTTTACAGGAATTGTATCTATTGAAGAAGCATACCATTTACAACGATGTGGTGTTTGTTGTACAAATGTTTCATTAACAACAAAGGATTACAAAAATAATATTTCATTAACACCAAATATTACTGGGTTAGATGCAAGACTAGAAGAAAATACACAAATAATCATACCATCATACATTACAAGAATTGGAATAGGATGTTTTGGAGAGAATAGAATAAATAAATCTTTTATTTTTCCATCAACTATTAAAGAGATTGGAAATGAGTTATTTGAGTCATGCTATGAATTAGAACATGTTGATTGTTCTTCTTTAAATTCTATACCAAAATTTTGTTTCTTTAATAATAGAAAATTATCTTCGGTTGTATTATCAACACAATTAGAAAAAATTATGTCAGGCGCATTTTATCAATGTTGTTCATTAACCTCAGTTACTATTCCATCTTCAGTGACTAAAATGGGTCATTTTGTATTTTACCAATGTCAAAGTCTCAAAGAAGTTATTTTTGAAAAAAATACTAAATTAAAGAGTACTGGTCAATGTCTTTTTTATAAATGTTATCATCTTACTAAAATTGTGTTACCTGAAGTTAATAGTATTGATAATTTATCTATCTTTAAAACAGTATCATTAAAAGAAATTGAAATACCAAGTACTGTTACACGACTTGGAATAGATGCTTTTAAACGATCTGGTCAATTATCTAAAATTACATTACATGAAGGATTGAAAGTGATAGACAAAGAATGTTTCATGTATTGTTCATCTCTTGAATCAATCAAAATACCAAATTCAGTAACTGCTTTATTTGGTGGTGTATTTTGTTCATGTAGTAAGTTAACTTCTGTTACATTACCATCAAATTTACAGATAATTGAAACAAATTGTTTTGAAGGTTGTTGTCATTTAACTCAATTAGTTATCAATGAGCAACCAATTTATGAATATAATTATCCAATTTCATTTACTCAAGCAAATTATTTTGAAATTGGATTTATTCAATGTACTCATATTATTTATACTGAAAATGATAGAATAATTTATGGAAAAGATATTCCACAAAATGTTCAAGAACTTGGAGATAATTGTTTCCGAGAAGTAAATATTGACAGAATAAGTTTACCATCATCAATAACAAAGATTGGTGCATTTTGTTTTAAGGATTGTTTTGGATTAGTTGAGTTTGAGTCATTAGCTGAACATATTATTATTGGAGATTATGCCTTTGATTCATGTGTATCATTGAGACAAATGAAATTACCAAAAAATGTTATGTATGGAGAGAATGTAATGTATAGATGTAATTCATTGAATAAGTGAAATTAAAATAAAAATAAATTATTTTTCTTTATTCATTTCATATTTTTTAATTGAAAAAGAATAATTAAGATTAACTAAAAATAATAATACCCTTAAATATGGTTGATACAACACCAATTCTGTTTGAACAACAAGCCATTATAGATAAATTAGAAGTCTTATCTTCAATCACAAAAAATTATTTAGTTATTTTAGAAACAAGATCAAAAATTGAAGCAAATTATGCTAAACGTTTAAAATCTCAAACTACAACACCTCTTAAAATTAGCAGATTCGATACAACAAACCCAATTGATTTAATGGATTCGACTATGGCAATATTATTTAAAGAAATTAATACACAAGGTTCATTAGTAAGTGATGTTCATCAAGAAACATCAGAACGCTTGATTAGTACAAAAAATGATTTAGAAATTTTTATAAAAAATTATGAAACTGAAAAAAAAAGAATTTTAGTTGAAATAGAAAAGAGAGTTCAAATTTATGAAAATAATATTAAAATTGTTGAAAAACAAAAAGGGTTATATAACAAAATATGTCAAGATTTGGATTGTACTACTAAGGAATTAAATAATGCGTTATCTAATAATATTCAACCAATAGATAAATTGGTTCAGAAAAAACAATTATTAGTTGAAAAACAACAACATATAAAAGAAAGTTATATTGAAAGTGTTAAAAAAGCAAATGAATGTAGAAAAATAGTTTATTTAGATGAAATGCCTTCAATTATATCATCAGCCCTTTCATTAATTCAACAAATTTATGAAAAATTATCAAAGACAATAAATACTATTATTATTGGTATTGAATCTCTTAATCCAGTAATTGCTAAAGAAGCAAATATATTTAAAATAGAATTAGATGATATGAATTTTGAAAAAGATTTGGAAGAATTTACTAAAAAAACAAAAACATTAACAGAAATTAAACCTCTAGAATTGGAAATAGATAATTCTGTTCAATTCTTAACTCATTCTTCTAGTGAAGTTTTGAATAAAAAAATAGAACCTATTAAACTTATTGATAAAACTGAAGCAATATTTAAAATTGAAAATGATGATGTTGAAGATGTTTCAAGAATGATGAAACAACAAGAAGAAATGCAAGAGTCTCCACGTCCAAAAACACCTGAAGAATTTAATGCAGAAATTGTAGATGGAGAATTGATTGATTTAAGTTAAAAAAAAAAGACTAACCTTGTTATTTTGTAAAAAAAATTCATTTTATTCCTTTTGTGGAGAAATGAGGATTACTAAATCACCTCGAATATATAATACTGGAAAAGTTCTTGTTTTTTCTTGATATATTTCACTAACATTAGTTAAGATAATATTAAGGTGTTGATCAAATGCCTAAAATAAATGAATTGCTTTACTATATATAAATTGTTTCTTAAAACAAACTCTTAATTTTCCTTTTAATTTTCTTCCACCTCTCAATTTTATAAATACATTATCATCAAGTGATAATTTAATTAAATCAATTGGTTCTTCAATTTGTGTTTTTTGCATTGAAATATTTAGTTTTATGTTTTGTTTTTCTAATTAAAAAAAAAATAAAAATAAAAAAATGTTATTGGTTAGTAGTAAAAAGAGAATTAAAATTTATTCTTGAGACATTCTTGTACGACAAATTCATTAATTCATACATTTATGTTTAATACTTTTTTGAGTTTAATATTCACATATTCTTAAAATGTTATATAAGACTAAATCAATATTATACGTTATTTAATGAAAGAAGATTTAGGGTATTTAAACCTTTTTTTTTTAGATCTGTGATTCAATGTCATTGCAATTTTCAGTAATACCTAAAGAGTGTTGTCATTTCATTAGTGCGACATATTCACCAAAATCATTTTTACTATCTCTTCGTTCGTTTTTTTTTAAATTTATGAGGACATTCTCATATCACAGGAAAACATACCTGTAATTCATGTAATGAAAAAGAAATATGGATTTGTTTACATTGTTTACATATTGGTTGTTCTCGATATTGTAATGGACATGCTCAAAAACATTCATTAAAACGTGGACATCCAGTAGTATTTAATGTGCAAAGTATGAATTTCTGGTGTTATGAATGTAATAGTTATGTTGTTAATAAGTCATTAAACGTATTGTTTCAATTAGCAATGAAAGACTATACTTCAAATTTTAAATTTTATCAACCCTTTTTTGAAACATATGATGTAAAAGGAGTGGCAAAGTATATTAGAAAGAATCATGTAAAAAATATTATTGCATTAGTTGGAGCTGGAATGTCTACAACAGCAGGAATTCCTGATTTTAGATCACCCGGGACTGGATTGTATTTTAATTTACAAAAATATAATCTTCCATATCCAGAAGCTGTATTTGATATGAATTATTTTCCATCTAATCCTGCACCATTCTATGAAGTAATGAAAGATATGTTTCCTGGACAAGGCATATACTTTCCAACAAAATGTCATAGATTTTTAAAGTTACTAAATGATAAAGGAATTCTTAAAATGGTTTACACTCAGAACATTGATGGTCTTGAATCTGTTGCTGGAATTCCTAATGATAAAGTTATTTGTAGTCATGGTACTTTTAGGTCATCTCATTGTCTTAGTTGCCATAAAAAGTATCCTGATACTTCAGTATTCATTGATTCTATTAAGAAAGGAGAAATCATTCATTGTAACTGTGGAGGATTGATTAAACCTGATATTGTTTTCTTTAATGAAAGTTTACCAGATGAATTTTTTGAGTCAATAAAGGATAAATTTGATGATTGTGATATGTTACTCATCATTGGAACTGCTCTTGTTGTTTATCCTTTTGCTAATTTAGTTGATCATGTCCCTATTAATTGTCCTCGAGTATGTATTAATAGAGAGAAAGTTGGTAAAATGATGTGTTATGATAATCTAGGAAGGGATGTGGCATTGTTAGGAGGGTGTGATGATATTGCTTCTGAGTTAGCAAAGTATTTAGAGTGGGAATTGTCATAAAATTGAATTAAGTTTAGGAGTATTTTTCTGTTACTTTTTATTAAACCATGCTTTGTATTTACTTCTTATTGTTTAATAGATAGAAGTCATTCTTGTGACAAGTAACTTACATATCTAGTTAATTTTCTATTATTGTTAGATAAAACTAACAAACAACTAAAAACTTTGTATATTTTTTTTGATACTGTTATTGAAACTAGATATGAAGAAATAGCTCACCATAACGTTCTATCTTTATTTTTAAATAAATTGTTTAGCCAAAACACCATAATCTAATTGTTTATTAAAAGTGTTTTGATAGAATTATATATCAAAATGATTAAATCCATTAAAAATTTTTTATTATATGTTCATCTTAAAAGATTTTATAACTAATCTCTCCTTTCTTTTTTTTAAAAATAGAAGAAATAAATTACTTAATACAAAATATTTACTGATTTCTTTTTAGTTACCAATAGTATGAGGGTCTGCAATTCTTCCTCTTTCCGTAATTATTTTATATACCATCTTAAGAATTAATGTAAACCAATATATATGAAGTAAAAGAAGAACACAGAGAAGTGACATAATCAAACAATACACAAGAAATCCACCTGGAAGATCATCAGGGACATACTTGATACAACCACCAGCAGCTGGAATCAAATACCATCCTAAAAAGTATATTCTAAATCTAGGGAAAGATATTGCTAAGAGGGTAAAAGAGAGATAAGCAGGAATTTGAGTTTTTAAATCATTAACAGACTTAGCAAAATACATAATTGCATCAACAATATCATGAAGAATAAGAATAAGACATCCACATCTTCCACAGTTATTCAAATAACTAAAAACAATAAGAAATACTGTAGCAACATGATGTAATAAATTTTCAAAATAATCATTTCTCTTTTCACCTTGCATATGATGTACAAGTGAATGGAAATGATATCCTAATTCCCAACAATAAAAGAAGGTAATTCTCCAAGTAGGCAGTTGGAATGGAAAATCTTCCCACATATATTCTAAATCTTGTTTACCCTGACCAAATAATTGAGTAGGGAACCAATCTTCATTTCTAAAAAGTCCAACCCCAAGAGGGGCAGTGATAAAGAAGTATAACATTTTGAAGAAACAAACTGAGAAACGTTGAACTCTTACTTGTCTTACTTCTTCTGTCCATTGTGGTTTATGGACAACAACTTTTTCTCCTAATTTAAGAAATATATTCTCAACAAGTATAACTCGAAGAATATAAATAAGAATAAATTGGGGAATAGCAAATAATAAATTAATTGGAGAAGGGAAAGTGTCATATTGTTTAGATCTACTGAAAGATGATGGAATACAAATTAATACAAAAGGAAGAATCAATAATATCTGAAGAATATTAACTTGATCATGTTTAGAAAGTTTGCTCCAACCAAATGAAATATCAGACATTTTCATTTCTACAATTAATGAATGAAATTGGCAGTCTATGAGTTTATATTATCAGAATCTTTTCAAAAATAAATTCAAACAATCACTCTCTCCTAAAATTAATTTCAAGACAGGCACTAGAAAAAATTGGTATAAAATAAATTCTGCTACTGAACTAAGTAAACTATATTTTTGTTTTTTGAAATGATAATTACAAACTATTCTTTATCTATTTCGATAATTAAACAAAAATTTGAGAAGACTTTCTAGTGAAATGTAGAAGTTCATTAAAGATAAAATGGTAGTTAAAAAGTAAGATTGATACTATTTGTTTCAATAGGCAACGGAGAAGAACTCTATATATAGATTTAGAAATAAAAAGAAGACTCTCGAATCAATCCTAGATAATAAAACAACGAATCAGAAAAAAAACTTAAATTAATTTTGTTTGACTTGTTTCTTACTCAACCATCTTTGCATTTGAACATGTGGTGCAAGACTTAAACCTTGATCAATGTTTTGTTTCTTTTCAATATATGGTTCTTCATTAAATCTTTCGATTGCTTCTTTATTCTGTTCAATACAATCTGAATATTGCTGAGAAAGGTTTTGAAGAATATCAACAAAAAGAGCATAAATACCCTTTTCCTCTTCTTTATTAGTATGTTGTTTATCTGATGACTTAATCAAATCAAGAACACGTTTCATTTCATCAACAATAAGTTGAAGAGAAGAGTCAATAGGTTCTTCTTTATTTGAAGCAATAAAAGTAGTTAAAAGGTCAATAATTTGTTCATCACTTTTTCCTTTATCTCCTAATTTTGAAACAGAAACAGCAGTACTTCTTAACTTAGCAAAATAATTTAATAATTTATCAGTCATTTCAGTAAGAAGAGTTTGTATTTCTTTATCAATTGATGGTTCGTTTAAATTACTTAATAATTGATCAATAACAAATTTATTATATAATACTCCTTCTATATTAGTAGAGTTATTTAATACAATAGAATCATCAAAACCATATTCACTTAATAATTCCATAGATTTTTCAGATAAAGTTTGTTGTTGCCATTCTTTCATTTCATTAGGTAATGTACCATTAAGAATTAACTCTTTTTCTTTAGAAAGAACTTTTATTAATTTATCAGTACTCTTAAGAATTTGAGAATATTTATTTCGAGCCCATTCTAGATATGCAACTCCCATAATAATATCTCTTTTTGGTCTATTTTGGAAAACTACATAAGTAGGAACTACTCCTCTTCTAACAAGATCTACCATTGAACTTAATTTAACTCTAAGTGTTTCAGTAACTTCTTCATAAAAGTCAGATAATGCATTTTCACTAAGACCTTTTAATTGTTCTTGAACACTTTTAATTTTTTTTACATTTCTTCTAGTTAAATTATCTTTTTTACAAAGAACACTAACATCAATCTTGAAATTAGTATTAAGTTTGTTCATAACAAAGTCATTCATCTCATTCATAATTTTAATCATCATTACTTCTGCACAATCTTTACATATAGCACTTAATGACCCTCCAAATGAATTTGGATCAACAACTTCAGAAGGAACTATTAACAACTCTTTCCAACAAATTCCTATTTGTTTTGTTTCATCAGCAGAAATATAAAGAGGAACATCCATAATTTCATTTACAAGACGACAATCTTTTGCAACACGTGCAAATTGATATTCTCCTGCAGACATTTTATATAATACAATTGTTCCTCTTCTTAAAATTTTCCATGCATCAAATGAACAGTCTTTTGTGAAATATGATGTATTTTTTCTTCTATTTTCATGACTAATATTAACATCAATTATAGATGCACGAATTCCAATTTGATTGCAATGAAATTTAAGTACTTGAACTAATTTATCACATGCATAATTTCCAATAGCAGTATTTTCTGGGTCATCAATATTTATATTAAAATGTTCTTTAACAATTTGAATCATTTCTTTCTTTTCTTTATCTTCTTCTGCATTATATGCCAATAAACTTGCTTCTGCAATTCTATCCCCAATATTATTTGACATAACAAATCCCTCTTTCATTGCATGTGCGTACATAACTTCTTGAAGAGTAGTATTAGATTCTTTAATTTGTTTTACTAATGTAATAATTGACTTACTAATATTCTTTGGAACTTTTTTTGTTGACTGAAAAGTAGTATCACTTTGATAATCAGAAATGAATTGTTTATAAGCAGTAATACAATTTGTAGCCATTAAACTAAATTTTTTTTTCTCTTTTTTTAGTTCTTTTAAATTTTTTTTTAAATATTTTTAAAAATAATTTCTATTTTAAGAAAGAAAGAATGAAATTATTTTTTAGCACCAACTGAATTCATAATAGCCTCTAATTGATTTTGTCTAATAGCTAATCTTTTAGCTCTAAATGTTGGAGAATCTTGAGCAGATCGTTCTGCATTAATTAATTTAGCAATTAAGAATTGTGAGAAAAATTGATTATGTTGATATTTATCTGTAGTAATAAATGGT